ACGAAATATACTATTTCGTGAGAAGGCCCGGTATACCGCGATTCTAACCTCGCTTCGCTCGGTTAGATCGCGGTTTACGGGCCTTCTAACGAAAAATTGCATTCATCACACGGTCCAAAAGTATTTTCTGACATGCGATTATAGATTATATACAAAGCCACATTCGTCAGAAAATACTTTGTGGACCTGGTGATGAAAATAGCTATCGTTACAATGTGAAACAGTGCTTTACGGACTGCGCCAAAGAAATATGCGATAAATCATTTTTATCCCCATGCCAATCGAGAGCGCGGGGGGGGGGGGGCTTTGATACAAGGAGTTAGTATCTGTTAACGAAACTTCGTAACTATTAATGCAATTTGTGAATAGTTAACGACCGGCATTATTAGTTAAGAAGCCTCATAAACAGCAACTGAATCATTCCATCTTTTAGGTCAGTGAATATGTATTTGACTCAAGCTAACACAGTACTACTTTGTCCGCAAAATTCAATTTTTTGGTTAGAAATAAAAAGGATACTTTGAGGAAGGACCTTACGAAGTCGTCCATTTCATTATTAACTAATTAGTTAACGAATAAAAAAACGAATTAATTGATTAATAATTACTCCTGTTTTCTAAAAAAAATGATTGTGTGAATGAAATCAGTTAACCCTCCTGAACCCTCCTATACCATTTCCTATCCATTAGAAGTTGAAACCTTCCTCTAAACCCAAAATTAATCATTTTTGGTTCCAAATAGAAGAATTGAAATCGTTCTATTTTTAGATTCTCTAATTTCGCTTGGAAATTGTATAGAATGGTCTGAAACAAAAATATTAAGTTTGACTAGCCCGTGTGTATATGCGGGTATCCACCTCGCGTTCAACTTTTAGAAAATTGAAAATAATTCTAAACAAGCAGGGGGCTGTGAGCAAATGATAGCATGTCACTGAATCAAGATACGCGACAGCGTATCGGCCAAGTTGACGTTTTACCGGTGTGACGTCATAGGCCGATGCTGTTACGTATAATCTACACGACACAACTACTCCCCGAATGGTCTTTATTTTTTTTCTCGTAATACGAGAATTTCTCGGGAAATCCGTCCTTAGTTACATTACATAAGTTGACTATGAGCTTTCTAAAGATATTTTTACATTCTCGATAAATCAATAATAAATAAAAATATCCGCCATAGCAACCATCATAATGTAATATTTCGCGATTTTATTTTCTCTCAGCGTTAGATTTGTTCGTCNACACCGTCTGGGTTTCATTCCTTAATATTAATTAGCCAGCAAATGAATCACCTGAAAAACATTGAGAACATGTTGAGGACGAGGAGGGCATAAATTCCCCTTCGAAACTATCCCTGTGACAACGGGACTGCTATTACTGCCGAGTTACCGAAATAGCGAACTCGGCCAGACACCGAAATCGACCGCGTCGCCCTCTCTGCGATGGGGTCGTACTAGCCTCACGCTAGGGTCGGCCAAACCCCCGGATCTGAGCCTCTACTTTAGTCTATCCTCTTTGTGGAGAAGCTTCAACCGCAAAATTTCATAGCGGTCGCGCATGAACTAATTTTGAGGCCGTACCTGTGAATAAAGCAGGGCACGAGTCCGTGAGTGTCTATAACGGCGTAGAGTGAGCAGNGGATAGTTTCGAAGGGGAATTTATGCCCTCCTCGTCCTCAACATGTTCTTAATGTTTTTCAGGTGATTCATTTGCTGGCTAATTAATATTAAGGAATGAAACTCAGACGGTGTGATGGAGAATTAAATTCCCCATCAATCAATTNCGATGGGGTCGTACTAGCCTCACGCTAGGGTCGGCCAAACCCCCGGATCTGAGCCTCTACTTTAGTCTATCCTCTTTGTGGAGAAGCTTCAACCGCAAAATTTCATAGCGGTCGCGCATGAACTAATTTTGAGGCCGTACCTGTGAATAAAGCAGGGCACGAGTCCGTGAGTGTCTATAACGGCGTAGAGTGAGCAGAATCGGAGGGATCGGTGGGCTGGGAATGCTATGAGATGAAAGTTACAACGGCGTTCAAGGAAACGATATAGTTTTCAAGCGCCGAGTGGCCCCGCAATATTTGCGCTCAATTAAAAATTCATTTTTCCTCTTCCAATTAAGATGGAGAGATGAAACCTACGGCAGTCGATTGAGGATTAAATGCTCAATCGACCGACACCAGTTCCATCCCTCCATCCTCCACGGGGGAGTGGAAAACTCGCGTTGAAAGTCACGACGGCGCAGAAGAAAACGATACAGTTTTCAAGCGCTGAGAGGCTCCGCAATATTTGCACCCAATTAAAAATTAATTTCTCTTCTTCTAATGAAGATGGAGAGATGGAACGAACGCCAATCGATTGAGAATTGAGTTCTCAATAAATGACAACGGTTTGATTCCTTCATCTCAATTAGGAGAGGGGGCGAGAAATGAATTTTTAAATCGGTGGAGCCCCTCCGGCCTCACTCGACGCCGGAGAACAGTCGGGGTTACTTCGCACTTTTGAAAATTCATTCCTCCACTCTTAATTGTGATTAAGGAATGAAACCGTTGTCATTCAGTGAGAATATAATTCTCGATCGTTAGGCGTTGGTTTCATTCCTTCATCTCAATTAGGGGAGGAGAAATCAATTTTCAAATCGGTGGAGCCCCTCCGGCCCACTCGACGCCGAAGAATCGTTCGGGGTGACTCCGCGCTTTTGAAAATTCATTCCTCCGCTCCTAATTGAGATTAAGAAATGAAACCGATATCCATTCATTGAGAATTCCATTCTCAATCGATTGGCGTTCGTTTTATCTTTCCATCTTCATTAGGAGAAGAGAAATTAATTTTTAATTGGGTGCAAATATTGCGGAGCCTCTCAGCGCTTGAAAACTGTATCGTTTTCTTCTGCGCAGTCGTGACTTTCACCGCGAGTTTTCCAC